TGCCGCTTGGGGAGGCTTGTCGGCTCGGGTTGATCTGTGGCTTGGAAAGGGCCGGCTGTGTCTTTCGCGGCATCTCCGCTGCATCCTGGTGTAGTCGCGTTGGTGTGCGTTTCGGCAGGAAACGGCGCCTGCCCTGACGCCATTTTCTTGCAAGTTTCGTTTGGTGAGGAGATTTTCTGAGGCTGGCGTGGGACGGCAGAGTCAGCGGTAAGTTTTCATTCGGGTTGCATGCAGCAGCCTGTTGCACCTCTAGTTTCTCCCAAAAGGCCTTGAATATTGCATCAAGCCGCTTCATGGTCTCTGACTCCTGTGTGGGGGTCGCCGCCATTTCAGGATTGACGGGCCAAGGCTGAGGCAGCTGCCACGGTGTCTGCAGGGATCCCTCAGGGACCGGGATGACCCCCGCCGGTCCATGAGGGGGAGACAGAGGCTCTTGCTCGAGGTTTCTGCCATTCTCCCCTGCGCCAATCATGCTTGGATGCCGTGAGCTGTGTTGCATATTTGGTGTTGTAGCTCTCGTTGTGCCCGCTCTGTTGGTGGCCCCTGCAGTTCGCTTGGGTTCCGTTAAACGCTGATTTTGGGTATTATCAGTCGGAGCTATTAACAGTTTAATTGATACACTTTTATGAAGAAGTGGGTTTTTTAATGATTTTTTTGAAGGAACGGAGACTGGGTGAGCATCTAACGGAGGAGGGAAGTGAATTCCACAGGAACGGTGCAGCCCTCGAGAAGTCTTGAAGGCGAGCATCAGAGGTGGGATGAAAATGGGGTGGAAAATGGGGTGAAATGGACCAACACCTTAGTCGCATCTGGCGTTAAGTAGGTATCTTTTGGACAACAGCGACTGGCAATTGGACGCGGAGGTGTTCTCAACTGTATCGTCTCTCTGGGGTCCTTTTGTCATCGACCTCTTCGCCTCACGGCTCAACAGCCAGCTCCCACGGTTTTTCAGCTGGAGACCAGACCTGGTGGCGGAGGCAATTGATGCTCTCCTGCAAGACTGGCAAGGGGGTCTCCTGTATGCATGTCCCCCCTTTTCCATGAATCCACGCACGCTCCTTCAGGTTCGGCGCCAGCAAACCGAACTGGTGCTTGTAGCTCCTTTTTGGGGGGGTGCAGTTGTGGTTCTCTCAACTTCTGGAGATGTCAGTGGACTGTCCCAGACAGTTGCCGTCTTTCTCAGGCCTAGCTTGGCGATCCGGCAGGGAGTTGTCATCCTCTTTTGGTGGACGGATCCCTCCTTCTCATGGCATGGTTGATTTCAGGGGACCCTGGTGTAACGGCTACCCAGGAAGTAAGGGGGTATCAGCCGTTGGAGACGTCCTTTTCCTGGCAAGCTGCTGTGTAGTAATGGAGTTCTTAATCCCATCCACGAAATCCAAGGGTAGAGTCAGGCATAACTGTAAACTGGAGCAGAGTAACGGTACAATAAATCCCCTCCAAGAACGAGACGAGGCTACGTTTTGAAGGGTCAAGCAGAACTGAGGTTTATTGACAGGGGTCTCCTTTTATGCAATGCTGACCTGGAAAGGGCTACACCTTCATAATTATCACAATACCCAATCACCAACATGGTACAACCCACACGTCTCCTCCCCTCAGATAAACATTTAGCATAATTATAACACACACAATTTTACCCAAGTTCTGGATGTACCCCAAAACCAGGGGGTACGCCCTTAAATCCAGTATACCCAGATAGCTCTTGTTCAGGGGAACAACATATCAAAAATCTAGCCCATTCGGTTAAAGCGTTCGGGAGTTATGGGTCTTTGAAGTTTTGACCGACTGCACAGACTTTCTAGCCGAAAATAGTTCCACAAGTTTTGGCCTTGCGGTCGGTCCCCGTTCGTGCATTAAAAACCCACGAGAATCCCGCCATCCACAGTTATCTTGACGTTCGCCAGAATCCCCGTGCATAGTTTAATCTTTCTACCGAACGGCCGGTCTCAGCGGTGTTCGCCTGTTTGCATATCCGTTTTTAGTTCCACACGATTGATGACAAAACACCGCTGTTCGTTAGTAAGATGGCCGCGAACACGTGCAACGTCCCGAAATGGCGGCCAACTATACTTTACACAAAGGATTCGTGCTGAACCATGCGAACGGCTGTGCTGGTCTGGGAGGTAAAGTATCACTTAACTTTTACTTCAGGGTGGTCCGGTGTTCGGTAGTTTGTATTCGTTTTCTTGGGCAATAGTGGTTCGCATAAACAGGCAAGTCGGTTCATTTGTACATCCAGGATATGCAATAGTTAAAGAAGTCCAGGCAGAGATTGCAATCCTGTTACACCTGGGGTTTCGGATACTACTCAATGATTGTTGGCGAATGCATGGGCTCCAGGCACAAGACGATCATATGGGTCAGCTTGGTGAGCTTTGGCTGGCTGGTGCCTGGCTAGTGACATGGATCCCATTTCAGCCCCTGTGACAGCGATTCTGGACTTCCTGACTTCCTTGTTTGACGCTGGCAGGGCTTACCGAATTATCAATCTGTACAGGTCGTCCATTTCTTGGACCCACCGTGGTTTTTTTTTTTTTTTTGACAATCTTTATTTTTCCATTTATTTTATACAGCACGTTTAGATCAGTACACACAGTCAAACATGTTCATCTCCTTATACAGGAGCCAGGTAGTAAAAGTAACATACTCCAGATAGGCCCCCCCAACCTCCTGAAATTTGACAGAGTCTTAGCAATTGAGTTAGACTAGATTTTAGACTGCGCTGGTATATCTGCGCGGCACACAGGACCGCAATCTCGGGACCCCCGGAGAGCACATGTGACCCATGCGCCGGGTGGGGCATGGGATATGTGGCTTGTCCTTTGCCTTTTGAACGGGCATTCTTAACTGCATGTTACCCCTGCCGCCGTATACAAGGAGGCCCTCTAGCGGGTTCGCCCCTGGCCCATTATTCCCTCGGTACCCTCCGACCTCCTACACTGGGTTGATGGATCGTGGGCGAGGTCCGTCCGCTGCCTGTTGCCTTCCAAGGTCACCGTGCCCTTTCTCCTCCCCTAGCGTAAGTATCCTGAGTCCCCTAGGGGTCAAATCAGGTACCATCTCCTGTATTGAGTCTGAGGCCCGGGATGAGCCAAGTGTGTGAGGCTGAAGGCGCCAGGGGACCTCCCCTCGCACCATCCGGATGCTTTGTTAGCCCCCATCCCTCCACTCTGACCCCCCTCGTCCTGTACGACACCCATCCGCTCCCAAGATATTCCGAAGCCTCTCCAACCCGCTATCTCCCTATGCCTCCGTGGACTAGCTCCAGTCCTTGCTTTGTACTTCCAGCCCCCATCCCCAAAACACTCTGAATGCTAAGTCAGGGGGTGAGTGAGCCTGTATGCCTACTCTCGGGTAGGTGTCTCCATGCGTCATCTGTCTGGGAGGGACTGAGGGACATGTGAAGGGAAGTCATAGTCGCCTGGATGGGGAAGTGTGCCCCCCCCTAAACAGGGAGGCACCCCGGCACAGTCAAGTCATTGTGGATGAGGAAAGCCGTACCGGTGCGAGAGCGCCACCTTCCCCCGGCCGGGCTCCCCCCGCGGCCCCCCTGGCCGTGTACTCCGTCCAAGGAAACCATGTGAGCGCACATTTATCCGAGCGCCCCTGCAGAGACGCAGTCATCAATTCCATGTTGTGAATCGTTTCCACCCTGTCAATCCATTGGTGGAGCGAGGGGGCTGCCTGACTTCTCCATAGCATGGGGATGAGGGATTTTGCTGCCGTGAGAAGGTGTATTACCAAGCCCTTCTTGTAAGCGGAAATTGGCATGCTCGTATGATTCAGTAGCATTGGCAGCGGCTGGAATGGGATGTCCGTCCCAGTAACATCTTTAATCCCTTTATGTATCGCTCTCCAGAAAGGTTCGATGCGGGGACACGACCACCACATGTGGATCCCAGAGCCATCCGCATCTCCACACCTCCAGCACTCTCCTGATAGAGATTCGTGGACATGACGAAGAATGTCCGGAGTTCTATACCAACGCACCAGTATCTTGTAGTTGCACTCCTGGAACTTGGAGCAAATGGTCCCCCTGTGCGTCAATTGAAAGATCTTTTGCCATTCAGAGGTAGATAGCTCGACCCCTGCTTCCCTCTCCCACCGTACCGTGAACCCTAGTGGGGCCTGGTCTTCACAACTCTGCAACATGGAGTAGAGTTGCGTTATGCCATGGGAGAGATGCTGTCTGGCGGCACAGATTTGTTCGAAGTGGGACAGTGGGCGGTGGAGGTGTGCCTTCCCAGTTAGTGAGGTTACATAGGTTTTAAGCTGGTAGTACCGGAAATTGTCCAAGCCGCTGGGTCTGCGGTCTTGGAGCAGCGTAGCCACCGGTTTGAGGTTCGGACCATTACACCATTGGTGCAGGTACATCCAGTCCGTGGCCCCAAAGTTCCTCAGATCACCTGGGGAGAGTCCACCTGCCAGTCTTGGGTTATGCGTCACGGGCGTAAGAGGATTTGGCGATGACGTGAGTTGTAGAGAGAACCGGATACCACACCAGACCTTTAATGTCGCATCCACCAAGGGGTTGCCCGTTCGTAGTTCCTGGAACGTGGCATCTCCCAGCCACAACTGGGACGGAATTTTGCCTCCTCCTGCCTGTGTCTTTTCCATGTCTACCCACCGCTTCCCGCTCGGAGCAGCGTGCCAGTCCACTAGACGAGCCAAGTGTGTAGCCCGGTAGTAAGTAAGGACCGAAGGCAAGCCCATGCCTCCCTCGCTTCTAGGACGCTCCAGGATCGACTGCCAGATGCGGGCAGCTCTCCGGTTCCATACGAACTGCTTAAAGGCGGATGACAACGTTTGGAAGAAGTTCCTTGGTATAATGACTGGGATCGTCTGGAACAAGTACAATATACGGGGCATGACATTCATTTTAATGGCATTTATGCGTCCGAACCAGGATATATATTGGGGGGCCCAGCGCTTCATGTCTTGTTGTAGAGTTGTGAGTAGGGGGACAAAATTCATGGAATATGCTTGAGTTAGATCACACGGTATCCAGATGCCCAGGTACCGTAATTTGTGCAAGCAAATCCGGAAGGGGAAATGCGCCTGGATGTGTCTACGAAGTGCCGGGTCTCGTGTGAGTGGCATCAGTTCCGACTTGGCCAGGTTGAGCTTCAAGTTAGAAACTAAGCCATAGAGTCGGAAAGCTTCTATTAAGTTCGGTAGCGAGATTCTGGGCTGTTCGAGGAGGAAGAGCATGTCGTCAGCGTATGCCGCCACTCGATGCTCCTCCCCCCCTACCAGGCACCCCGCTATGCCCCCATCCCGCCTCACCGCCTCCAGGAAGGGCTCCAGAGTGAGGGCAAACAGGAGGGGGGACAGCGGGCAGCCCTGACGCGTGCCATTGGAAATCCGGAACACACCCGTTAATGCTCCGTTCACCCGTATACGCGCCGTTGGTTCCGTGTACAGCGCCGCTACCCATGCCCTGAGACCCGGCCCAAACCCCATGCTTCCCAGGGTCTCCTGCAGATAGGTCCAGTCAACTCTATCAAACGCCTTCTCGGCGTCAGTAGAAAGGAGTACCATCTCCCTCCCACCGGATCGAGCCACGTGGACTGCGTTAAGGGCCCTGATGGTATTGTCCCGGGCCTCACGGCCGGGTATGAAACCGACCTGGTCCGGGTGCACAACCTCCGGCAGGATCCTAGCCATCCGTAGTGCCAGCGCTTTGGCAAACACTTTAAGGTCCGCATTGAGCAAGGAAATTGGTCTGTAGCTGGCACAGTCCATGGGGTCTTTGCCCTCCTTCGGGAGGATCGTAACCGTTGCCCTCAATGTGTCTTCATGAAAGCGGCCTTCCTCCCGTAGGGAGTTGAGCCCTGCGACCAGTCGGGGTAGGAGGATATCCCTGAACTTCCGTAGATAAGAAGCTGGTAAGCCGTCCGGCCCTGGAGCCCTGTGAGTCTTGGTGGCCTTCAGCGCCGCCGCTAGTTCCTCTGCCGACAAAGGGACCTCCAGTTCCGCCTCCTGCTCCGGAGTGAGTCTGCGTGTAACATGGGTTTGTAAGTACTCTACTATCCTCTCCTTATGTTGCCGTACCTCTGATGCTGTGCGGTGTTTCGTTTGGTCGTAAAGAGCCGCATAATATTCCTGGAATGCCGACAGTATGCCATTTGGGAGGCGTGTAGTATCCCCACTCCCCGTGCGTATTTTATGGACATGGAGCATCCTGCGTTTTTCCTGGAGCATCCGGGCTAACAATCTCCCGCACTTATTGGAGTGTTCGTAAAAGAACCTAGAGGCCTTCCTAGCGGTGAGTAAGAACCCCTGCGACAGAATCTTTTGCAAGTCCCTACGTGCCTCCACCAGTTGGAGGTAGGTGTCCTCAGCTAGGGTTTGCTTATGAGTTCCTTCTAAGTCAGCGATACGCTTGGTTAAGCTGGAAATGCGAGCTCGTCTGTCTTTTTTGCGTTTGGTGCTCTCGGAGATGAAGAAGCCCCGGATGACGCATTTGTGCGCCTCCCAGAGCCTTAGAGGAGTCGTATCCGCGGTATCGTTGGTGGTGAAGTACTCTGACAGGGCACGAGTCGCGGACTGTGTGAGAGCCAAGTCATCCAGCATAGTCACCGTGGTTTTAATGGTTGTCCCGCAGGCCAACATCCTTTAGTCAGTCGACTTCTAAGCAGCTCCCATCTTTCTCGTCCGCCTAAGCCGCATTATTCATCCACTTGGGATGTCTCGGTTGTTTTGTAAATTCTCTTGGTTGTTTTGTATTGCTGGCCTTCTAACCGGGATCTCTCATTACGCCTGTTGTCGGCTAAATTGGTTTGTCTCTTTTGCCTCATTTCTTGCAAAAGGGTGTCGGATGTACGTGCTTTGGATTTTGATGCTAGATCATACACTCCGGAGCTATTTCCAATATTTCCAGACGTACTAAAACTTCTATTAAGTTGGTATCGTATCCAACTTTCCCTTCGACACCAGCTTTATGTCCGGTAGCGTGTTTACGTGAATATGAAGATCGTACCAGACCACATCGTTCCTCTTCCACACCTCAACTTTTCTTGTCTTTTCGTCCTCCTTTTGCTCCAGTTGCGAGCGCTACGTTGTCTCGATGATTGAAGTAAATTCAGGACCAACCTGGTATCGCCTGTTCTGTTTTTCGTGCGCATTCTGTAAGGTGTGCCTCTGCCTCATCGATTATGGCATGTTTGGAAGACCTAATGAGGATGGCCGATTGGTCGCGGGAATCGACGTTTCATGAATTTTATTTTCGGCCTCTTACTCATGTATTTTCTGCATTGGTTGATCATCTTTAAACTTGCAATATGAGCCTCTGTGTCTTGTAATAAAATTACATGATTTTCCTATTACATGACGTAAAGTCATGATTTTATTAAAGACACGGAGGCAATTATTGTCCCATCCATTATGAAGCATTTTCTCAACTTAGTTTTTTTGCTGTTTTTTTCCCACCCATGTTGTTCATTATAGGTGTCTGGACTCGCTGGTATGATAAGTGGGGCATTGTATTTACGAGGCTTAGTTTTGATCGTGCCTGTTTAGAGTTTTGGGATGGGCTGTTCTTTGTGGTATGTGGATTACTGCCTATAGTATTATTCTGGACTTGATGTTGGTCTATAGTACCGATTTAACCCTTGGGCTCCTGTTCTTTATGTTTTCACAGCATGATCCGGACTTGTTTGATGTCTCTTTCATCTGCCTTGGAGGAGCATTATCTTGTTGGAGCTATTCCGTGGATGTTCCGGATTGTTTCTGGTTGTCGATTAAGTGGTCCTGTGTTCTCGATTCTGGGCTTCTACATTTCGTTTGCTGATGGTTTATGCCTGCTGGTTTTTCCTCTTTGCGGACTTTCTGTTATGGTGTGTCGCATCTTCAAGAAAGAGGGAGATCTGAGGGTTGTGCCTGCTATTATACTGGGACTTGGCTGGGAGTGGCCATATGTTAATATGTATGCATTATTTTTCATTCTGTTTTGTATTCTTTGCTGCTACTGGTGGACAGTAAAGAAAGGGATATGCAATACTCGCCTCCGTGTCTTTAATAAAATCATGACTTTACGTCATGTAATAGGAAAATCATGTAACTATAGGCATTCAAACAAGTTTAGCTTAATTAAGCAGTTTTAGTATATAGATTATGCTCCTGCAGTGTCACTGCTCGATTCTCTGCCATTTAGGAGTTAAAGGAACACTATAGTTTCAGAAACACAAATATGTATTCCTGACACTGTCGTGTTAAACTAACTACTGAGGTCCCCAGCCATCCTTAGATCACAGTAAAAAGGTTTTAAACTCACCTTTTTTCCCACACCGCATCGGTCTTACCATGGCTGGCTATGCCTCCATGGCTGAGTTAATTAAACTTGATCATCTGAGCCAAATGCATACATTTCCATAGGAAAGCATTGGTAGGCGATTGGGCATGTGCGGCAAAACGCAACACTGCGTCAGTCAGCATCTCCTCATAGAGATGCATTAAATCACTGTCTCCCTGCGGGGAGCATTCAGCGCCTCCATGCAGATTGTAAGGAAGCTGGACGCCAGTTCTGCACCACTGGTCTAGGAAGCACCTGAGTCACTGGCTGTCTGAGTCACTGCCATTAGAGGTGTTACTATGCAGCAATGTAAACACTGCCTTTTACATTATGGTGTTATCTCCTGCTCTGTAAATTGAACTTTATTCATACACAGGAAGCTCCTGTAGGATCTAGAAGGCTATTAGCGGAACAGGAGATAAGAAATTCTAAATGAATCAGAATGTGCAATAAAGGAAGTTTAAATATTAGCTCTCACTATATGGGAAGTGTTTAGGAAGGCTCTGTAAGTTACATGCAAGGAGGTGTGCCTAGGACTGTATAAACAAAATGAGTTAACTCCTAAATGGCAGAGAATTGAGCAGTGAAACTGCAGGGGCATGATCTGTACTCCAAAGCTGCTTCATTAACCCCTTAAGGACACAGCTCTAAGAAGCTTGTCTTACCCTCAAGGACATTTTTGCACTTTTTGCTGTTTGTGTTCAAATGCAATTTGCATCTCTGTCATTTATTGCACCAACACATATTATATACCGTTTTTTAGAGGGAAAACAGGGCTTTAATTTGACGGCACATTTACATAGATACATTCTCATTAAGTATAAAAAAAATTGGAAAAAAAAACCCAACAAAACATTTTTTTTTCACAGTTTTGGCAATAATAGCATGTGCATAATATGTCCAGCTTAGAAAAAGTCATTCAAAATAAATTCATTTATGTGTCTTGATTTATAGAGTACATAATATGTATAGGATTTCAGCCTTTTTTGAAAGTTACAGGTAACAAAATACAAGGACTAAAATAAAATTTCAATTTGCAAAAATTTTAGACGTTGGTATGTTTGTCTTGTAGGTTTAGTAGCCATCACAGAAAAAAAAAATTGCCACATAAAAGTATATATTTATATAATGTAGACATCACAGGCTATTTACCTAAGGTTAGTTTGACACTTTTTACGTAGCCATTTCATCGACAATTTCTGCTAAATATTGGAGTAAAATTGTGTTTTTTCTTTATTTTGGCATATACACATATAACGTGGTGTTTGTAATGTGTATTTCATAAAGCTGGTGTGTGCTATTCCTGCACAGAACCCCATATTGTGTTCTGTACATCTGCAGAGTATAACGATTCCCCCATTGTATGCCTTTGGCATTATTCTGTAAAGCTAAAATGCCATATAAGTTAAATGTGCCATGTTTCAGTTTCTATAGTTAGAATTTTCGTAGATGGATTTGACGGGCCTATGTCTCATTTTAGGGTATTATAGCAGTGTGACTGTTCAAATAACCCCACAAAGGGCTTTCATTTGATAAAGCAGACAATTGGCATTTTTACATATATGTTGCATTTTTGCTGAGTATTTCTTACACTGTCATAAAAAAAACCAAATTATGCTAAGTTACATCTTCTGAGTAAAAACAATATGCCCAATGTACGACCTAGACACTCTTTTGTGAAGTTACAATTCTGTAAAAGAGACATGACAAGTTCAGGTTTTTAAATGTGAATTTTCATGGAGGGTTTTGATGCGTTCCTGTCCCACTTTGGAGCACTTGAGCAGGCTACATATTCCAGCTACACCATAAAGGCATACCATTTCTTAAAGAAGACATCCCAGGGTATTTCAAAAGGCATATTTTGAACATTAGCGTGGGATAATTTTTCCGCTAGCTT